CATTTTGAAACCCTACACTAATAAAGTCATTAGATGCTGCCCTTGCCATGAGCCTTCTAAAAGCTTCTGAAGTTACAAGAACACACGGCATTGTTCGTTAGGACAATTGCTGCTGGCAGAATGCAAACCTTGAGTTAAACCATGCTGCAAATTGATCTTGACATTCTGTTAAGACCGCCACTAAAATCAAAAGCAAAGGAGAAAAGGAGAAAATGAGCGGGTGGGATGTAATCATGGAACAGAAGGGTTCCCTCCTCACCTTCTTTCCTCTTCCTCCTCAAAACAAACCATACAGAAAATGACAAACTCGCCTGGTGTTTAAGAACCTTTATTTTTAAAACATTAATTAGACTTTTGACCTGTTTTTATTGACTGGCACTGTATTGCTCTTAAAGTAAATTAAATAAAATATTGCAAAATACAATACATAAGGTTTTCACACTGTTCTGTGAAACCTGTTAAGGATTTAGTACTCAAAGAATACGTCCAACAGTTTTGCAAGCAACATATACAGAATCTACGGTCTCTCCTAAAGAGGCAGTGAGAAATTAACTCACCGAGTCCAGCACTGACAGACCCCACACCTGCAATATATTTGCTGAAGGATCAAACAGGATTGGGGAGCTGGAGTAATATGGTCAACTGGTCTTCATCCAGGCATGCATCATTCAGTAGGTTAGTATTAAGGGTCAGCAACTGTGAATATGGCTAATTACTTGATGACGGAAATTGCAGGTGAAGACAACCTGCTGCTGAGAAGCGCTTTAGTCAATTAACTCTTTCCTAAGCTTAAGCAAAGTGAAAAACTATCATTTGAACATTAAAACTAACAAGTACCTGTCATCAGAGCTGAGGAAAGTCGGTAACACCTTGGAAAGGCAATGATATCAAAAGCTAAGAAGCGGCTACAGACATTCGAGTCACTGTTTTATGGTTTTGGCATTGCTTTGCTTGGCAAACATTATGTACGTTGGAAATCTGTTAATATTATGCATAATCTATGTTTGCAAATGCTGTGTGTACAAACATAAGGGTATGTGTGCATGTGTAGGTATATATGTATGTCTATATATTCACTGTATATGTGTTTTGGATACAAATATATTATATTAATGTATACCAATGAATTAACACATGCAGTTAGGCATATGCTTGCATACATATATATACACATACATATACCTCCCATACACATGCACATAATTATATTAGAAGAATGGTATCTAGTCAACTCTTTGAAGTCAGAAAGTGCCAGAACTACAGCTGCCCATGTCTGGTTCTCCTGCTTATCTATCCCATAACCTCTCTGGAAACCTGAGGAATCGCTTAGCCCACGCGATGCCCTGATGCAGCTGATAAGCTGCTGCAGCCACATGCTTGGACCAAAAGGTAGGGCCAGAATTGTCACTACCACTGCTGTCACACACCACTACTACTGCCTTGACAGCTCCCATAAGCGTATTTCTGCTGTTTGGAATGGGATGGTAGCAAATCTCCACAGCAAGCAATGGAAAGCAAACAGTGATTTTGAAGCTCATGATTCACCCCAAATTGAGTGGAATACAACAAGAAAGTAAAAGATATCATAGAATGGTTTAGGTTGGAAAGGACCTTGAAGATCATCAAGTTCCAACCCCCCTGCCATAGGCAGGGACACCTCCCACTAGACCAGGTTGCCCAGGGCCATGTCCAGCCTGGCCTTGAACACCTCCAGGGACGGGGCCTCAACAACCTTTCTGGGCAACCTGTTCCAGTGCCTCACCACCCTTAAAGGGAAAATACCTGCAGCTTTGTGGGGTTTTTTCCTCCTTTGACCACAGACAACATAAATTACAAGAATATTCAAATAGTTGCTCATTAAACTAAAGTCTAAACTATAGGTGATAAATCTTTCATGTAGATTCCTTAACAATATTATAAAAATGCCATGTTGCTTCCTAAATGAAGGCTAATTATTTTTATATTATTTTGTGCCTTTCATTATGATTTTTTTATTCTAGTAATGAAAAGATTGATAATTTGCAGCACTTACCCAAAGTAATTGCTCCCTTTCCTGCAAACCTTATGTCAGAGACAATTAAAAGCTGTGAAAGCCAAAAAAACACATTCTCTTAACTGTATTAACTAGAGTTCTCCTTCCGTTTGACAAAGTAACAGTCCTGGGTGGCTGTAGTTAGAAATTTTTAAAAATCTGACTCCCAAAGTTGTAATGCTTGTGTTCTTGCACTATAGCTAACAGTTACCCAGGTGCTTACATACACCGTTTTACTTCGAGTCCTACCTACAGAACTCTTTTCACTCTGCTGCAACAGATGTCAAAGAACAAGATTGACAGGTTCCAGCTCAAAAGCACCAGTGTACAGTAACGCAGGATTCAAAGCACATCCCTACATCAGCGTCAGCTGAGAAACATATTAAAAAAATCAGGAAAAATGGCAAGATTTTGGGGCTGGTTTTGTTCTACAGTGAACTCCTACTTCATTAATAAGGATGGAAACTACTATGAAGACTGGTTTTGGAACAGACTGACATACACAGACGTCAGAAGGATGACAGCAAAGAGCAAGAAGAAAATCTGAATATTCAACATTTATTTGCTTATATGAGAAAGTATGCATATCTGTTTGAAATCATTCATGCTGTGCTGCAGTACGGAAAACCTGTCTTTTACTACTGACATTGAGGTGTCCCTACTGACTGCTGCAAACAAAGCTGGGCTACACCAGCAAGCAAAAAGCAGCTCCTTCTCTTGTTCTTGCTGTTGTCTTCTCACCATTCAAATAAAAAGCTATGTGCAACAGTATGTGTAGGGAAACAGAACAGGATAGGCTCCAAGACCACTGTCGTCGTGCCGCATAATAAAGTGTCATAATTAAACAGAGGTACTGAGTATTTATTTATGGGAATGCCTACAGTGCATTGGCACTTTCCAAAGGGAGAAGGAAGCATCATGCCCCCTCTGAAGAAATTACACTCTAAGGAGCAGGATGTGACACTAAACACAACTGAGAAATTATTCTAATTCGAGCCAACATGCCTTGTTTACCCCTTACTATTTTTTGACCTCACTGTTAATATGACAGTTTCTTTGTTGTTGTTAATAGAAAGCAAAAAAGAAAAAAAAGAAGGCTTAAAAACCCTATCGTACTGCACAATCGGCGACTAGGTTCATTGAGAATAGCTATAAAGCCTTAAACAAGCCCTTTATTTTGTGTTTTAAGAAGTGTCATAAGGAGTTAATAGGACACAGCTGTACAGGCTCTTTCTAATAAGCAGCTTCTGTCGCTTTGGTCACCACAGGTGTCTCTGTAACCTGCAAACTCTTATTACTAGTGTATCAAAGTTGTGCTACTTAATAGATTTCTTTAGTAAAACACAACAAAGCAATTACATGGCTGTTGATCGTCAGTCATAAAAAAAACCCTCAAACACAGTTTTTCAAAAGAAACTACACTGCAATTTTTTGTCATTGTAAAATAAAAGAAACTAGAGAATTAAATAGAAAAGCGAACAATAGAACAGCAGGTAGTCAACTGAACTTAGCCACTACAGATGGTTTAGAAATAGTGTTTCCTTCTACACCAACTTGTGGGATAAAAGAAAAGGAGGAGGCTCAACACTGCCCATGAATGGCAATACCAAAAGACTTAAGCAACTTTCCAGTCTATGTATTTGGTCCCATGAAAGAACCTAGATGTTTCTTTTTCCTCTCTCTCTCTTTTCTTTTTTAAAAAAACCTCTCTGGTTTTGCAACTACTTTTTTCCATAATCTTTAACTCTTCTCCAGAATAATTTAAACTAGGAAAATAGCTGCTGATTCATCCAATGAGGAAATGCGGAAGGTTGAGTGAGGAATTCCTGTGAAACACAAGTGTCATTTAAAAAGTGTATTAGAAAAAGAGACTGTTCTGTTTTCCATGCCCACTCTCAGTAAAGAAATATTAACTATATTTTACATATATAAGAACAGGAATGCATGAATGCTCTATTCTAGCAAGCAACAAGAGAAAGAAACATAAATATCTACTTTTAATTGTTCAATAATCAATGGAATTGTGTAAAATGTGGCAACCTTTTCCCAGCCCAAATGACAGTTGCATCTTTTGTTCAAAAGTTAGAATCACTCTCATTATAGTAATATACGCAAGACATTACCCTGGCAAGCAATCATGTTCTGGGTAAATAAACGTGATGAAATAAGGCCCAAGTTAGAAAACCAAACCAGTCCGATTTCTAAATATAGTAAGTATAATCATAAAACTGGTATTTTTAATAGATTATGATCAACTGATAAATAACTAAGGAAGAGAGAGGTCTTAATATAAAGATAAGAAAATTTGTTGGTAACACACAAAAGATGTAGAAGGAGGCAGAATCTACAGTTTTTTATTTCTTTACTCATCAGCAAAATAATGGTTGCTCTAAGACATAGGATAGCTTTTATTATATTAAAACCTATCAAAATATTTGAGCATTACCAAAGGAATGTTCTGTAAGAAAACTGTAGTTCAAAAAAGCCCATATGAATTGCAAGCTTTTAGTTTTTTGCATAATCTGTTCTTAATATTAATTTATCACATTAATGTTATTTTTTTAATAAGATTTTCATTAACAACAGCAGTTATTATTCCAGACAGTTCTAATATAGTTATATCAACATACATAAATTAGCGTCACATAATATTATGGCACTGCAATGCAAAACTGTGAAGACACGTTCCTAGGACTATGTTTGCAAAAGAACCCCCCCCATCCCCCCAAAAAGGAAATAATTTCCTCAACTATTTATTCCTGCACAGGAATAAGAAGTCGCTTTGTAATGAAAACACGGATGGTCCAATTCTCATTGAACGTCAGCCAGCACAGCTTCATTGATCAGCTAAGAATGAGCATGAACTTTTTAGTTCAAATAGATACCAAGCAACAAAAGATTCGATACACAGAGATAAGGATCTTCCTTGAGAGAAAAGCTGCTCTACTCACAGTCCAAAGAGTCTTACCTTGCTCTGTTTGCTTCTTTTGTCATGTCCCATGCCCAGGTGATGAAGTTCTGGCTCAGATAGGAGACAATAGATTCAGCACAAAGCATTTGTGAGCAGAAGACATTGGTTAGTACACTTTCATCATGGTGGAGGTAGATAGCAAGAAGCTTTCTCTGAAAAGACATGAGAAAAGATTGACTGGTGAAAACTTCCTCACGCTGTTTAGTAATTTAAGATTACTGCTCCAAATTTGTGTGTTAGTACACCCTACGGTCTTTAGCAAGGGTGCCAAGTATCTCAATGCACTCACACAGGGGAAAAAAAAAAACCCAGTAGATTGAAATGGTCCATTCTTCCAATCTGTAAAACTTCTCCACGCTTCCTAATACTTTCTTTTGGGTACCAAAACACAATATATTACATGCTTACAACATGAAAATAACAACATTTGAATGAAAACCAAAAACCTTATTAACAGGCTTAGCTTAAGAAATGAGTGAACTTTTTTTGGCTTGCTACCCAATAAAGATAACATTTGCAACATTTCCCTGAGCAAGGAACACACCTCTTGATACAACAGCACCTACGATACAAAACAATTATAAACAACCTGAAAAAATGACAGTACGTTGTTATGGCCCCATCTGTAGCCAAATACAGAGGAAAACGAGTAAGTAACAATACAGGTGCCTACAGTCCCAAAGCCTGCAACGCTACATGCTGGATGTTTTGGCAGTTCTCCATCCAGCCGTATGACGTGGGGAGGCCCACAGCACATCAGCCTCTCACCTACTTCGTAAGTTGATGTGTAGCTGGTCAAAAGGTCGTGTGTCAGCCCGGCTGCCTCCCTCTCTCGTGGAGCTGAGACGCAAGGTCCAGCATTCACCCCAGCACTGCGAATGTGTAAGACGCAAGGGAAGGGGTACGGGAGACGTGGGCCAAATCACACATAGCATTTGTGAGCACTGATACATATCTCACCGTAGTTACCATGTCAGCAAAGACTCAACGTTGAGGATGGTGTTTCTGGCCTCTTGAAATAAAATATCCTGTGCTGTGTTCTTTTGAAAACCTATCAAGTAATATTTGAGCTTCGCTACCAGCAGCATAGAGCTGTGCTGTGTCCCCACGATAATCTCAGACCACCTTTTGGAAAGCGAGTCTATGTGTACGTAAAGACAGAAAGCAGACTGAGAAAAATACAGGGAAACTATGAACTAGTTAAGGATCACGATCCTATATCTGGTATTCAATGAATTATAAACACCTTTCAAGTATATTTCAGGAAATTACAACTTTGCCCCATGCCCATATATATTACTTACTTTATTTAAAAAATCTTACTTGAACATATTTGCTCACACAATATGGTAAACGCTATTTTCAGACTTTAATTTAAAGTCATTTCTCTTCATCAGAAGTAACACTGAACACTGGATATCGATGTGTATTGATAATGATACAAGGCACAGGATGCAATTTTGAGACAAGCTGTCTTTGTGAAAACCTGTATGGCTATCACCTCATATACCAGATTTGGATAAAACTTAATGACTGTTTATAAAAAGAATACATTTGAACATTAGACTTTGGGAAAGGGATTAGTAATTTGCATTAATGTTTGTCTAATTTAATTTAAATGTTCTTCAAAACCACGTACACATGTGCCAGGAAGGGCCATTAATAAGCCCAACATGCAGAGATCCATATAAGTGCAGCCAACAATGTTGACTGAAACTAAACTTGAAAACCCAGGGCACTGATGCACAATATCAAGCAATAAAACAGCATTTCTGTGGTGATATTTAATTTAAAAAGAAGAAAGAGGCAGGGGAAGATCAGGCACTGTCTGTTTTTGAGGATCAGCCATTCTGCATTTCAAAGCGTCGATCCCTGCAATATCCAGGTTACTGTGCTAGAATCTCGACTATTATATAGCAGTTGTAAGAGAGGGAGGGCAAAGATGTGTTTACTCAGTGATTAGGGCCTTAGAATAAGCCTCTAGCTCCTAGAGAGACAGCTCACCACTTATTCATTTGGACCAATTCACAAAGCCTAGAAAGATTAAACATCCATGCTGAGAAGACAAGCGAATGCAGACGGTGAAAAAGAAATAAAAATTCTTTAAAAACTCTGAGATGACTTCATTATTTTTTCCACAAGGAAACTTTAGGAAAGTGTTTAGTTAGAGAAAAACCCACATTGACCTCTCTCTAAACCCTTAATCTTTCCTTTGTGGTGGCACTGCTTTGTGGTAAGCGGATGGCTTTGCTCTCCTCTTTTCACTGGGAGCGGGTAGAAAAAAAGGCTCTTGAGAAACACTTTTACTTCCAAAGAAACAACCCCATGAAACTGTTAAATATGAGATTCCATACAAGGGAATGTTTCAAAATATGTACAGTTTTAGGCTTAAAGATTTAGGGACAAATTTTAGTAAACAGAACAGGCACATACACAATAGATGTTTACACTGAGCTACTTTACAAGTGAATGTAATTTTTGTTGCATCAACAAATCTCACCATGCAAAGACTAAAACTCCATCCTATATAAAAGACTGTCTTGTGTCTGATAATTTATCCCAAATGTTAAGGTCAGGCATAGGCATACTGCTAGGAAAAACGAAAAGAGGTAGCAGGAGGAACTGAAGCGCTGAAACACGATCTTGAAACATCTTAGTGGAAGCCAGTGATATTTTTTCCTTGAAAAAATGCATTATTGAAAAAGACTCAGGGCTTGGAGTTTATTGTCGTTTGGTTTGTTTGTTGGGTTTGGTTTTGGTTTTGTTTTTTACTAACCCATGGGAGTATGTATTTATAAGCAGGTTTTTCTTGGTTTTATTTCAAGCCTTTGAAAAAACAGAGTAAATTCTAGGTTTCTATGATGACTAATACTAGGAATTTTTTAGTGAATACTAATAAAATAGGCTTACTAAACTGATGAACAGTCTTGACTTCCATAAAAAAAGCCTAGTAATGGAACACTAGTCTGTTCTGTGTTAGATTTGTCAACAATATAATGACTCATGGGTTATACACTTCGCATAAAATTTAAAAAAAGGAAGAAGAAAAAAAAACTCTAATGGGGAAGAACTTTTACTAGGCCCTATGAAGGTATGGGATACTGAAAAGGTTCTAAGTACTAAATAGCTGATCGACTTCCAAAGGCCTTATAGTACTATAGAAACTTAAGCCATCAAGAGATGTACTTGTGAGAGTACATGGATGCTGAAGACCAGGCAGCCATACACAGGAATTTTCAGAAGTGGCCTGGATTTACAGACATACTTGGGAGTGTAAGTCTCAATGTCAATGAGACTTAAGGTCCTAAAAGGTTTAACTTTAAGTTCCAGGTTTCATTTTATTTCAGAGGGGAAAGGGTCACAAGAAAGAGGCGCTAACTGTTTTCAGCACCTCGGTTATCCAAACACCTTCAAAAATCCAGATGTCAAGCGTTTTGTTTTTTGTTTCTGCAATCTCTGTTGTGTTCAGACCACAGGAAACACTGTTGGCCTTGCCCTTGCTCCCACGTCTTACACCACTCTTTGTTTGCAGTGAGGTACTGCAGCCCTCTCCTGCCTGGTTTTAAGCTGATGATGGAACATGCCTGGCACATGGCACCTGGAAGGAAACACAGGCTGTAGATGGACACTGCACTGCAGCAGGGCAGCCCCCCCGAGAGGCACAGCGCCCCAGCTGCAGCCTCGCACCGTGAAACCTCTCTGCCACATCATCCAAAATACACAAACTGATGCACCTGACCAAGAGATCCAACATGCACGTACAATCCCACACATCAGACAGACATACTAAAGATCTGTCCTACATACCAAAATGGCTATGCCATCCACTTGGCCATTCTTGCATTTTGGAACTTCAGAAAAGTTAATGCACTTCATATAGAATTAGAAGAAATGAAGGAAAAGGTGGCACTGAGGCAGAAAGAAACACTGTTCTTCACGAGGTTGAGAGACTAAATTGATAATCACTGAGTAATGGGATATCCAAGCTTCTCAGCCACTTCTAAATAATGTGAATCCAATACCTCAGAAGAATATGAACTACAATGAGAAGAGTGATACAGTCATAAGGGTCAGCAAAAGCACAGAGCTCAATGGTTATTTTTGAACCTCAGGTTTACAAGTTCAAGTAATGACTGAGACAAAAATGTTCACTATCTAACAATAGCTAGAGGCATGAATGTTCTTTCCAGCTGGCAAGCTAATGAATCAAGATGGTTAATTTTTCTTCCAGGTTTTACATGGTGAGAACCAATTCAAATGAACACAGGGACATATTTGCACATCTTTAAGCCTTTGAAGTGTACAATCTGATCCACCTGTCTAAGTTGATCTTGGAGATCATATGATCACCCTTCGTGGACACAGCTATGCCATCACACGCAATCCTTTTCTCCCTAAGCAGAATGTAAACCTCTAACAACAAGGTGATACACCTTCGAATTTACTGCACTTTGAAAAAGAAGCACAGCAGGACATAGGGCGGATGGAGATTCATCGGAAGCCTTGTCTGTGTATTACACAAACAGAACAAAACCTGCTGAAGAGAAGCATTATTAAATTCTCCTGCACCAGTCTAAAGAAACGAGACAGACACCAAAGACAGGGAGACAAGGGGCACTAAGTAGCCTCTAGCTTTGTAGAAGAGGATCTGAACTATACTGTACCCCACAGGTTCCTAAAGTAGGAGTGAGACAATCCCTGTAATCTTCTGGTCTGGTCTTTTCTATTACACATGGCATAAGGCATCCCTAAACTAGTTCCTAATTTAATCTTTCAGTAATTTTATCTTTCAGTAAAACATCTAGTCTCAGCAAACCACCAGTGATGAAGAATCCATATGAACCAGGGTAAGCTGCTCAAATGGCTAACCACTCTCTCAGGTAAGGATGTGTTTTATTTTAAGTTTGATTTAGTCTACTTTCATCTTCCAAATATTTGATCCTATTATACTGTTGTATCTCTATTTCCATCAATTGAACTAGTAGTGATATCTTACATAATGCAAAGAATATCCGATAATTAAAACAAAACTCAAATAAGATCCACAAATCATAGGCTTTGAAAGAGGAGGAAATGTAGAGTGTGGCAGACAATTTCCATAAACTTTTGTTATTTAATATTAAGTACAGAGAAGGCTGAAGAGACCCATACCCAGGACTAACCTTTCAGATATGCAAGACAGCAGAATAAAGGGTGTGTAGGCACACAGCAAGACTGCTAAGCTGGTATGCTGCAGCAAAAATTTCTGAACAATAATTATCGACAAAATTCAGAATTTATTTTAAGAATGAAGGGACAGAACTGCTAATGCACACATCAGGTGAGAACTGGAAAGAAAATGTAGGTGACTAACACGGGACTTCACTGGAATTTATGTACTGACATGTACTGTAGTGTAGCTGCTCTTCCCAGGCATCTAGAGTTATACTTCTATACTTGCCCTCTAAAGTTTCAAACAGACTGTGCAGGTTGGTGTTCAGGTTATTTACATTTAATTCAAATCATTAGTCATTTCTCCATCTAGAACCCCCAGACAGGTCAACTACAGACGCATTTTCAAAGCACACCTAGCATACACAATATGATAAAGCCTCTTATAAAATGCAGCAGTAGCTGCATTATCAAAAAAACATTTGACTTGGTTTGAAATGTGCCTGGAGTCAAAGTAAAAGGTGATGGTGAAGCTGGACTCCTTGACATCACTCCACAGTAATTAGGGAATAAAAGGGGGAAAAAGACAAAAGACTATACCAAAAAGCTATTCTGCAACTGGGATTCAGAAGAATTTCTCTCCTCTACTCAAGGTAGCATCTAAGACTTCAAATTTCTCTTCTGAGACAAGACGACTGCAGAGCAGTCGATGCTGTTTCTATAATGTGCTCCAGCAGAAATCAGAATAATTACCTCTGTGAATCTTTTTTCTGTATTAAGTTCAGCATGAACTTAATTAGCTGAAATAATAAGGGACAGTGTCCTGAGTTACACTGAAAAAAATGATACTACAGAAAGCCCTGGATGGAGGGATATTCTGCTACCATTTCGGGGGAAGGCACAGAAACCTTTTGTTGGAACACGCCAAATCACGAAAGGAACATACTTTCTTTTAGGTATTCTGAAAATAAAGCACCCATATGTGAGAGGAATGGTACTGCCACTGAATTGAACCTAAAAGACAGAATTCAAGGAGAAGAAAAACATGGTTCATATTCAGTATGCAGGAATATATATTGAGGTGACAATACCAATCTGTGCTAAGAGAGATGTTTCACATATTTATTAAAAGTCAGTGAACAGAAAGGTTGAGAGAGGAGCAGGAGGTGATCTGACAGAGGTATATAAAGATAAGAGCTCCTGAAAAGGTAAAGTGGATGTCTTTATTCTTTCTCATAATAAAAGAGTAGTAACCAATTATAAAAATGAAAAGGCAAACAAGCTCCAATAAAAGAAAATACTTTAGTATTATTCAAGTAAATAGCTCAGTGAGATTCAATAGAGCTATTAAGATCCTGCATTAATAACAATACTGCCCTAAATTAGGACAACACCCCCGATGTTTCAGAATACAAGGCACCCACAAACTGCTTTCAGTCACAGAGAAACCTTCCCCAAATATCTTGTTTAAAACTGTCCATTGTAAGATGTCTTCCATGGCATCAGGTCTAGCTATTTCTGTGACAGTGTAGCTACTTGACCAAGAGCAAGCTTGTTCTTCATAAACTAACCTAGCAGAGAAATGCTTCTTTCCAGACTGCACAATAAGTAGAGGAACACTTTAACAGAAGAAAAACTTATTTGTTCATTTAATAAACCTCTGTCTCTCTCTGTCTTCCTGACCCAAATAAAAAAAAAATAATGAAAATATTTTCTTGTGTTATATATATATATAAAATAAGCCTTGGAAATGAACACACAATGCCCTTAACTATCAGGCTGCAGCAGTTAACTGGGGATTTCATTGCCATGGACCAAAGACACTGGTTGTTAAAGGCAAAACTCTGTATCTTGGCTATTGTACTTTTGTGCTAAAGAGACATACAGGTTTTAAAGTAGAGCTACATTTGACCTCATTCCATCTCTCCTACCTAAAACCAGCACTATCATGGTAGCAGTTGCTCTAAAGGAAAAAAGATACCCATTGTGTATGTTAATCTTAACTACCTAAAGATTTGAAATAAAAAGCTACAATAATAAAAGCTAAACAAAACATAGGTAACAAATATGTAAACTTTTTTTAGAAGGTATTTCTTTTTCAAGTAACATTTTCTTAAACTATGAATTACCATCCCTTCCAACACATAAAAGACATTAAGATTTAACAGAGCAATATCTAATTTCTTAAAAAGAATTTTAACCAATAATCTGTGTTTAAAACACGTTCTGACATAAGTTAATTTTCTTAAAATCGCCCAAATTAAAATATTTCTGCAAAAAGGCTTCAAGTTCACATATAATGGGATTTTTTTTTGAGGAAAGACGCAGATTAAAAACATAGCTGATGTCTGTCTCACTAGACCTGAACTGTAGAGTGCACCTTCTGCTCTGGACAGCGTTGAGAATTTGTCAAGAAAAGGCTAAGATCTCTGAGCACTCAAGCTGCCAAGTGCTCTCAAATTAAATCAGTTTGAAGCGGTTTTCATTAAGATGGATTGAGTGTGGCATCGTGAGAAACACTCTATCAAATGTAGTGTTTTACTTAGTGATTAAGTATATACCAGTTGATGAAGCTACCCAAATCCTTCGTAATCCCACCACTCCAATAAACATTTAATGAGTATATAAGTTCAAAAAGCCTAGCAGAGGATTTAAACCTTCAATCTTGTTTTTATTTACTCTTGGAACTCAATTTCTCACTTCAAGTGAAGAATGCTGGTGCCTGAAGCTCATCTGTTGCCCTGGTAAAATTAAGTGCCCTCCATAGTATAAATTAGCAGACAAGACATACAGGTTGCAATTTCTCCTAAGCTTTTTTTCATATACTTATATTGAATTATTTTATGAAATACAATTATAAAAAAATAAAATAATGTATCCCTTTCCTCAGTTATGAATTCCAGGAGGCAGTACTGAAAAACTTGTTTGTAACAGGAAAAAAGCAGTAAAAATAAATGGTATTTATACATTCTCATTTTTGTTTAAAGTCAGAATGTTACAATAAAAATCGTATCATTCCATGGAGTAGTTGGGGGGGAAGATGTTTCAAAAATTAATACAATATTTGGGAAAAAAAAAAAAAAACACAAAAATAACACTTTCCTAAATATGTAACTTCATCCTGATGAGGATCTGATCTGAATACACTGCAAAATACTAGAAATGTAAGGTGACATGAATTTCAGATGTGCTATGTAAGTAGTATAAGAAGTATTTTGAGTATTAGAAAACTAAGTAACTGCACTGCATTAATACTAGATTTATAGGTATTAAAAAAAAATGAATGAGCTCCTAATGAGCTCTCACCCATTATTATACTGATACACTCTCAACCATTTCTGATGACATGATACAAAGTGAACTTCCCAACTCAAACACTTTTCTTGTTGAATTAATATGATTTCTTTTAAACTTGCATTAAGGCCCACTTTAATGAGCTACTACAAATTAATACTTTGCCACTGAATTATTGTGTATCCATTTATCTTCTGAAATCTGCACAAAGACATGAAAAGATTCACTAAACTTAGAGTGTGCACACAACATGTAAAGTATGTGTTAACTTAAGCTATAGAGGGTAGATCCATAACGCTGCACTTATCAGTGCAGTCCCGAACATAACATAGCTGTTCCTTCCAATATGAATAACTACGAGAAGCCAAAACATTCTTCATTTTAAAATTAAATATCTATCAAGACAACAAAAAGTAAATTTAAACAGCATGATTTTCTTGTTTGTGTTTCAGCTTTAACTATGCTTAATTATGCAGGGGTTTCGGTTTCTCCTTAGTGAATTCAAGTTACCAAAACTTAAATAAACTATCCCCATTCTAATTTTATTAAAAAACTGGTTTTAAAACTGTGCATGGAATAACAGAAACTTGAGATGTCTGGTTGGATGTACAGAAAAACTAAATAACCAAATCTTAGTACTGGAATTTACTTGGCAGATAAAGGCTGTACAAAGGAAAAAAAAAAGCGCACTGTATTTTAGAGACCTTTCAATTTAAATTTACAATGTCATTAGCAATCCTTCAAAGGAATTACCAACATGCAACGCTGAACTTGTCAACCACAAGACTTGCAGCCAGTGTTATCTGGTGCTAGGACACCATTATTTCAGGAAGAAAAGGAGGGGGGAGTAGCTCTGATGCCTAAAGGACTCCAATAAAAATACAGCCTGAATGATGAGAAAGCATGAGTTATTCACCGTAATTTCAACAACCACCAAGGTAAGTATTTTAGTCAGTCAACTAAATGAGTATAACTCTTCACAAACAATAAAATGAAGATAACTCCAAAACGTAGTTTACCTTTTTTAAAATAAAGATGAAACTTTTACAGTGATTTCCATTTTCTCCCTATATTAAATAAAGTAATTTTAATACACACTTACATCTCTAGCTTTCCCATAGAAGGCTTCTTGAAAAGCAGCCTCTAATGATCCAATAAAATAAACAGGATGGCAGTCACCATACCTATTTGAGATAAAATTTCCAATTAATAAAAAATTACAAAAATAAGCAATTCCAACATTATACCTCTTCATATATTCTGTAAACATAATACATTGGCTAAATTTTTAGAAAGATGAAGTACTACACTTCTAAATATTTCCCTTCCATACTTTAAAAGCAATCTGTCCCCCAACATTCAAAAGCTCAAAGCAACTAACTGCTACCTTACAAATTTTATCGTAAAAACTTTCTGTTCACATACATAGACAACTTAAGTTCTATATAATTTTTCTATCATAACTTATTTCCCCTCTTTATTATATTCCTAAAGGTTAATTGAAAGCTATTCTTGTATTACACATTAATGCATCTCATATATATATATATATGAGCATTTCAACACAGAGGAGTGAAAACAGAAGTCATAAACTTTGCATTACTTTGCAGTATATTGGTTTGCACCTTCTATCTGTTTGATGAAATATGGCTACTGTTTAACAATGTATGATGTGGTGGTATCAAGTCTAAAAAAAGGAACATTTCTGTATTTTTTAAAAGTAGAGATTTATCCAACCACTTTATTATTGTGAAAACTCTTATTGCATCTCTGCAATGTATTTTTCAATATTAATCACCTTCAGCTTTTCTGTTCCTGTATATCAAATTAAAATTACTATAGACAGAGTCTTTATCATCCTTCTGGACCCTTACATAATTAAGTAATGATATTAAATAGTGGCAAATTGAATAAGACAAGAATCTGTCACTCTATCCTGGACTGAGAAATAATTTTATTTCAGAAACAGTTCTAACAAAGTTAAGCTTAAAATAAATTAGATTAGGATGCCTATATATGCTACGATCCCACAAGAAAATACGTACATTTGGTTTATTTTTAGTTTCATTATTTACTAATTTTACTAAGTTTCTAACAAGAATTGCACAGTTAATAGGCTAAGCTTACCTTGAAGAAAACTCAGCTGTAAATTGTAATAAGGCATCTCCTTCATTTTCAGCATTTTCTGGCACTTAAAAAAATGAAAAATATATATTAAATGCAACCTCATGGAAACAGATTTTAATATGTGAACTCACTTCACTTCAGGGATTGTTTTTTTATGTTGACAGCTTACTAACGTGGTTACCAAGAGACCATATAAATTTCATGAAAGACTATCAACTATGAACCTTTGGAAAGACATGAAATTTCCAGACACTCTCATGAATATATTCAGGCTTTCCAAACAGTAAAATCCTCAGGTCCAGTGTAATGTGATATATTACTTGTTCAGTTAACACTCTGGACTTACTTTAATACATTAAAATGAAAGGACTGGCTTGAAAGGCTTGACCCACAATATTACTAGTTACTTTTCTTTTCATTTTCTTTCTTTTTTAAATTTCCTATATGTACTATTAAAAAGTTTTCCCTATTATTACATATATTTGCTGTCAAAAAACTTCTAAGCTAATAACATCAATGCAAGCCTAAAGTAAATAAAGAGTATATAGAATTGCATATAGGAGGTAACTGACGGCTCCTGCTCAACCTTTTCATAATTAAAGGACAAACAATCACTGAGAAACTTTTTTAATGTAAACGACTAAAAATACTAATCACCACAAGATGCTGAAGCTAAAATCTGTAGAATTTTCAAAACGGGGAAGTGGAAATCTAGTTATCTACAGGAACATTTGGTTAGAGATCATAATTGCTCTGAGTTTAATTATTATTCTTCAACTATAAGCTAAAAACTTTTTAACTAAGGTTAAAAAACTTCCTCCATGGGGAGATGCTTTCACAGTTGCCAATTATGTTTGCAATATTTTCATTTGATACATCCATCAGACATGACACTCAAATAATTCTAACATTCCTATCAAAAGATACTTTCCTGTTTCTTATTATGCAGTGCCATCATACCTCTCTGCTTTCACTACTGCTGTACAATCACCCATTAATCGTAAATGAAGTGTCAACTCTTACTCATTGGCGATTTCCTCAAGGCAGATGATGCTACTCCAAACATTTCTCCATCATCAACTCCAAACTCTGTAGCATCTTCAAAGTCATCCCCATCACTGTCGCTAACCATGTGAACATCAGTGCATTGCTATTTAAAAACAAAAATCAAAACCGACCATAAGCCTCTATTACAGACATCATCTTTAGTGAAATGCCAAATACATACATAATGAAAAATACTTACCTGTTTATATAAAAACACTCAATATAATGCATTTTATTTTACTATTTTATATAGCATTATCAGACTGCTTTTTATAAATAAGACCTAATTTTCAACAGGAGCCTGGTTGACAGAGCAATATTATGTCACAAAATGCATTACTAAATAACTAAGGAACTGCCTCTGTATACACAGTTGACCAAACTTTACCCAAAGTTAATGCTATTTTCCATCTAATGGTACTACAGCTGGTTTAACCACATAAGAAAGTGAGAAACATCATGTAATCTATCAATAATTTTAGACATGATACAATCTACTTTAGCAATACTTGCATGGTGGGGACACTCCTTGGAATGGTACCTATTTATCTTTTGCAATGTCTGACACACAAATTTAGCACGTGTAGTCGTAACTTGGCGTACCAGACTACTGCGTGTTGAATGACAGGCTGATTTATTTGGCATACCAATATAAAGGAGAAAAATCAACATTTTTGTGCAAGAAGCTAAGGTCCCATCTGTGCCTCCAACTCCCACCATCAGCATCTTTGGGATTTCATGTCCTCTGAAACATAAAGGTGCTCAAAAAAAACATTGCTTTTAACTATTCAACATTAACTTGCCCCCAAATTGACTTATTTTCATGAATGACTATTCCAGCTCCACTTGGCCTAGAAGTTATGGTACACTACAGAAAATCTACGTGAATCCCTAAAGGTGCAACAAAGTGTATTACGGAACATGAGATTTCAGCTCTATCATGCAAGTGACCATGAGAGGAGCAAAGAGCTCCAAACATGTTGGATCTCCCTCTACAACAGCTACAAATAAAGAACATTTACAGAATGAATTAGTCAACAAGAAAATTCTACAAGGTGAACATACTCAGTCAGATCATTTTGAAAGAATGAAGTAAAGGAAGGAAAAAAGGATACATAGTAATGCTGGAGATCCCAGAAGAAAACAACAATCCTCTATTTAACCTGCTAAGTGGTTCAGCCATAGCTAGAACAGCATTGTCTGATCCTCCTCTAACTTTCAACAACTGGCCAACAGCATACATCCAGGCTTGCATCCTGACCGTACATCACAGCTATGTCTTCCCAATTCAAATGAGCTGAACAGATTGAAACACATCCTTTTTGCGCAACAAGATAAACCTTATGTGCTACAGTTCTCAAAATGTTAAGAAAGGTGTGTGGAAAATGGGAAACTGCTTATATTAAATTAATTTTGAGGAAGGGCAAAGGCATTGGACATTTTAAGCCAAACCATGAAAAGTTAGAAACGACAAAGCATGAATTTATACAGTCTGCAAACATCTTTTTCTGCTAATACTAAAAGTATATGTTTGAGCCTTCTATTTAATTTGGAGTATTTTTCAGTGCTTAGTACCTTGTGGCTTGCTTACTTTGTCTTTCCTCTTCTTCTTCAATGACTCGTTTACCCAGTTCCTTACTTTGTCACAATAATGTGTTACAGGAACTGTAAACTGATTCTTTAAGATGGAATTTTACTGATGTATTTGACAATAGAATGGGTGGTGACCATGGCAAAATGAGCTTTCCCTGCTTCTTCCTAGAGTATACTGGTAAAATACAGGTGATATTCTTACCTCTTCTGACTGTTCCCTCGTTTGTACAGGTGAAGATCTTCTTCCAACTGTAAGTCGATGGCAAGGAAAAGTCAGTCCCGAAACAGCTAGAGTCATCTACAAACAAAGCAATGATCGTTTATTAAAGCCACAGTCTCAAGTGAGGGTTGTCTTTTTCTTAAGGGTGCTTCGAGATTCAAGCTGAAGACCACACTGCAGAAGACCAAATTAATTATACAAACATAAAGAAAGAAGTCTGGAAAACTAAAATGATTGCTTACGTAAAAGTATCCAAAGAAAAAACAACTGAGTTGTACAGGTATGTATACACAGAGTATCAAAACATACTAACTGGAATTGGAAACTCAAGACTGTCTTGAATTGTTATTTTCTCCTGAATCAGTACTGAATTTTAAACCATTATATGTACGTGATAACTTTTACAGTGGTATGCCTTTATGAAGTAAATGTAATTTTTTCCTTCCTAATCAATAAGCAAATGTTAAAGTGAAGATGATAGGTACTGATACAACCAATTAAAAACACTTAAGACATCTTGAAGAAAGAAGAATTATCTTGAAAGAACAGTTTATCGCCAGACGTAAAAGACTCAATCACAGTGGCTACTTAAAAAAATACATTTAATCTCCATCTTGGTCATTATTAATGTCAAAGGCACATGCCACGTTTCTCATATGGACAAGGACACACACAAACCCAGCAATGCTGGTGAGACTGCAGTCAGTTTAGATAGGATAGATGTTCATTTACCAGTGTTAACAGAAACAGCACTTTTGCCTGTTGCCATATGCCTAAACCTCAACTTTTCAAAATTAATGAGACAACAAATGGAAAAAAGCTAGCCTCATTTGAAAGAAAAAGAATCACTAGATGCCTGCAAACACACAACAATAATATCTGAATACTTGATCCTACGTTGCTTTTAAAAATGTACTAATCAATACAACTAAAAATGCGAATTGTCCACTCTTCTATGATCAGGACATTTCTTTACAAATTTCTTTATACAGTGTAAGCGTACACCTGGCCTTCTGTCCTGTTCTGGAAAGCGCAGCAGTTCTGGTCAAGTGAGGTTGATGACCACAAGTAGAATTTTCAGAAGCACCAAGCCCTATCCTGATAACACGTAGGCTAAATTTACAATGTCAATAGCTCTTAGATGAAGAGAGACAATTCCTTTTGGTAACAGATCTGATTCTTGCAGAACCTGGACGTGTCAAAATATTTGATGGTGTACAATTCTTAGCGATGTGGAGAAAGATAGTTCTGGCTATATGTTAAAAATATTGTTTCTAATAGTTCCTTCAGAAGACACACAGAGGACAGAAAAAGATTTTCTAGATCCTATAAAAATGATCGCTGTTTTTATGCGGCACAGAATGACAGACTTACATTATATATTTCAGAAATACAGCATCCTCCTAATTAGATTGTAGAAATATTAAGCTAAAATAAATTTCAATCATCCTTAACAAAAACCCAAGAATAAATCATAAGCCGTAAATTTCATTTACTGCCATAAGCAGTAAAATACTCCATTTATTTTTATACATAATTCAGAATGACTTTATCACTTGTCTGCTAGAACTCACAAAGATTTCATCTGCTGCAGGTTGAAGCAGGCTGATTAAGCAGGCTGGTTACCAAATGAATGTTAACCTGTCTGAACTAGCCTACTGTCACATTCTCATCGCAAGGTTAAACAGAAGTTTAGCTGCATGAAAAGCTTAGCTATCGTCTTAAAGGAAGTGAGCAATAATACTCTGGAGCAAATGACATATTAAAGACGACATACAGGTCAAGACCAATTACCTATGAAACTCCTGTGACAAGAGCATAAGAACTGTATTCTCTGTAATAATCCACCAGTTTAATGAGTATTTTTATAAGCTTTTAATAATAATCAAACCTCAACTGTTATAAAACCTGAAACTTTGCCCTGTAGTTACCACGCTATATAAAATACTGGTAAAACATACACACAGGCACAGTAACCGCACACAGACTGAAGTTCCCTATCTAACAGCATCAAATACCCTGACAGATGCCTGGAAAGGCTCCCGATATCTTTTAAATACACATTAAAGACAGAGTGGTAAGATCAAGCAAGCAGTTATTGTGCCGCTTCATCACTTGGCCCAATAGCAGGGTGTTGCAATTCCAATTTGCAACCCTATATTATAGTGTCAAAGCGTCTCTCAAAAATGAGCTAGCAGCAGAAGGGGTTCGACATCAGAGCACATTTCATCCTACTCCCCAGACAGTTGCTGGAATGTTGTTTTTTGTGAACATTTATGTGAGAAATCGCCCTCCCCTTTGGCTTTTTTTGAGAATTTTTTTGAAAAGTAAAGGCTAGGACAAAGAGAAGCTCCACCTTTCATTTCAAAACAATCTAGCAGGACGAACATTTCTCTAGAATTAAGTTATCTTCATTCTAAGATAAAGGAGAGAGTCCTCTCTCAAGAGAGACTCCTGCACCAGAAAGTTTAATCTTTATTTTTGGAAATCATGAAAACATCAACACTAAGCAAAAGATTACTTTCCAGGCAGCTCAGTCCGGTGCCACGGATAGCAAACCTCAACTTTTACAAATATTTTGAACGCAGGCCAATTTCCTGATGGGAGCACCCGCTCAAGTGCCTCAGTGGCAAGAACCGTTTAGACACTAGGCTGCTCTCGGAGAGTTTTTTTTTTCTTTCTAAATACTGCGTCTGCCTACTCCCAAACAGGGCTGCAGTACATTAGATATACGAATTGCTGTGTTGCAGCCACCTTCCCATGGCAATGGAAATAATCTTTCTACCAGCTCCAAACCTGAACATGCTGGTTTGTAGCCCGAGTACCCAATTACCCATATTTCTCAATTTATGAACCCTTCTGACTGGGCAAACACACAAAAGTCACTAACTTTTCAGAAGAATTTATTTTTCTGCATGGAAATCGCCATTATTTGAGTACAACAGTGTGAATTGGATGGCTTTCACGTGCACAAGAAGAGATATTGAAAGATGCATATGCAGGACTCGGCACCAATAATGAGCTAGACAGATTCTCAAATAAATAATACACTAAAGCAAAACTAAATAAGGTTGTTCCATTTTTTCTAAGCAGTATATCCATATACGTGCAAGTCCTTACTCAGAAGGTCTCACAGTTGAAAGGTACATGAGGTGTTAAGTGAAACAGAATCAGAAATAGGCAAAATGACTTGCAAAAAGCTACTCAAGGCAATTACTGAAAAGCCGGATCTCTTGTCCATCACTGTGTATAGATTGGTCACGCTTGTTAGACGATTAAAAAGTCTTCCCTTTGGCTTCCTATAGCTTTTTAAGGAGAAGGACAATAAAACTGAAGCCTCAAAACATTCCAGGGAGAGTGGCAGTAGGAGATTCCTTTTAGAAGAGAGCACAGATATTAAAATAAACAGATTGCTACTGGCATGCAAAAAGGTAATGGTACAATCTGGACTAAAAGTGCACAAAGGATACTTGAAATAATATTTTAGCTACTAGAAGGAAGACTGCTACCAAACTTTACAATTTAGAGAGAAAAGAAATGAGCCTAATGCTCATTTGTGCTTTCCAACACTAAGACACTGAATTTATTTGTAAACGTTCAGTGTCAGATGATTTGTATTTCAATTGCCAGCACTAATAATTGGGGGATAAAGTAAAGCAACATCTTTTCTGATTTGAACGTGCAGGATTCTTTGCCAAGAACTTTCCAGATCAACCTAGAAATATCTGCCAAACCTAGAGTGAGACCAGGTGCTTTAAACAATAGATTATTCTTCCTGTTAGAAAATATCATTTTTATGTAGAGGCTTATAGAAATACTCTTTAGAACAATCTAAAAAGGTTATTTTTTGCGAGTATTTCATGATATAAATGTGTCTGCAGCAGGAAAAGACATCACTAACAGCATGCAATTCCAGAGTGCTGCCATCACATGCTCAGAATATAGGAAAAATTATGAAACCATAATCATAGAATCATCTAGGTTGGAAGGGACCTTTAAGATCATAAAATCCAATCATCAACCTAACACTGCCAAAACCACCACTAAACCATCCACTTAAGCACCATGCCTACCTGTCTTTTGAATACCTCCAGGGATGGCGACTCAACCATTTCCCTGGGCAGCCTGTTCCAATGCTTGACAATCCTTTTGGTGAAGAAATTTTTCCTAATATCCATCCTAAACCTCCTCTGGCACAACTTGATGCCATTTCCTCTTGTCCTACCACTTGTTACTTGGGAGGAGAGTCAGACATCCCCTCGCTACAACCTCCTTTCAGGTAGTTGTAGAGAGCGATAAGGTTTCCCCTCAGCCTCCTTTTCTCCACACTAAACCACCCCAGTTCTCTCAGTCGTTCCTCGTAAGACTGGCTCTCCAGACCCCTCACCAGCTTTGTTGCCCATCTCTGGACATGCTCCAACATCTCCGTGTCTTTCCTGTAGTGAGAGGCCCAAAACTGAACACAGTACTCGAGGTGGGGCCCCGCCAGTGCCAAGTACAGGGAGACAATCACTGCCCTAGGCCTGCTCACCACTCTATTCCTGATACAGGCCAGGATGCGTCTTGGCCACCTGGGCACACTGCTGGATCATATTCAGCCCGCTGTCGACCAACACTCCCTGGTCCTTTCCCACCAGGCAGCTTTCCAGCCACTCTTCACCAAGCCTGTAGCACTGCATGGGGTTGCTGTGACCCAAGTGCAGGACCTGGAACCTGGCCTTGTTAATTTTACAAGCTTGCAATCTTCTAGAACGACTTTGCTGGTGCAACTTAATTCCCACTCTTGCAGACTTCAATATTACAAAGGAAAGAGCAAACTCAGTCTCTTGGACAAGTCCAGAGATATTTAATCAAGACACTGACAAAGATAAACAGTAGTATGAACATGAAGCAACAATACTAGCAGAGAACTGCAGCTGCAGAACTAACTCTGCTGAGAAACACCAATACAAAAATTATAAGCTCAGTGTACTGCATCAGGAAAGTAGTAACTGGATATGACAAACTGGTCTTCCTCATACTCAGCCACACGCTGATGGAGATAACCAGTGCTTCAAAGAAGCTTCTAATGGCAAACA